GTTCCTTTTTTATTAGCAAATTCAATTAATTCTTGCTTGCAACCTGGAGACAAACACCAGTGTCCTGAAAACATGCAACACGTTTGGTGAGAGGCTTGGCTTGTTCAGGTAGTTACTAAAAACTGGCTTAAGAATGTTTTGGGTGAATTGCTGCACTCAAATTATGGCCACAGGAAGGCTATTCCGGGGAAATCTGTTTAGTGGTGTCTGTAATCTGCACTTTTATTTTTCCCAGGGGTTTCCTAGAACCGAATTCAAACCACCCAGTCCGGACAGTGAAGGAGGAGCTTGCTGCAGGGCTCAGCCAAGCCTTTCCAGTACAGGACACTGACTCCTGCCTTCCCCTGCTCCACCAAGGCCACCTCGAGGGGGTTTGTCCCTCCAGTATCTTTTGGATCACTCTGAGCCCAGAGGAGACTCCAAGCCCTGAGGAAATGTCTCCTGGACCTGCAAATGGACCTGTTCTATTTTCCTGTGCTGATTTTTGCCAGGGCACAGAGAAGAACGTACCAGAAGGACGTCACAGCCCAAAGCAGTTTTATCTCAGACCGTCCCTGCTGCCTCATGCTCAGGCAATAATGCAGGAAGGAGCCTTTCTCCCAGGGACACTCCGTGTTCTTTCTGGGCCAGTTTTCAGGAAGTGTCGTGTCACTCCTCACTCCATGCCTGTTTTTCACGAGGTGCTCATTGTGTTTGCAGTGAGCAGGGGTACAGAGAGCAGCTGTGTCCAGATGTTGGTGAATAACATCACATCCACCATACATTCCCTTCAGCAGACGGGCACTAAACCAAATATCAACCTGCAGGAAGCAACGAGCTCTGAAACAACTGAGCTAAGTGACTTTGCTGCTTTTGAGTCTCAGCTTGGTAAAATCCAGTACTTCATGTGCATGGAGACAGATCCCCCAGGCTCCTGTGAGAAGGGCTCCTGCCTGGGGGTTATAAGGACATCTCAGGAGCTAGTAAGCAGTGAGCTGGTGGTTGTCTTTGCCTCGCTGAACCTTGACCTCCTGGCCATGCTGCTCTGTGGAATATCTGACTGGAGAATGCTCTGGACACCGGACACACGGTTCCTCAGGCAGTTTCCTAGAGGAGAGCTGAGGCTTTTCAAGAGTTTTTCCCTCTATCCCCCTTCCTACGTGCACGACGTCAGCTTTTGGGTTCCCGAGGGGGAGCACTTCGACGAAGTTGCTTTTCACACCCTTGCCAGGGGGGTGTCAGGTGAAACGGTGGTTTCCATCCAGTTAAGGGACACTTTCCAGCAGGCAGGGACGGGGCGGAGGAGCCTCTGCTACAGGCTGACCTTCCAGTCCTGCGACAGGGCCCTGAGCTGCCGCGGGGCCGCGGAGCTGCAGCTGCGCCTCCGGGAGCAAATCCAGCAGCAGCTGGGTGTGACCCTGAGGTAGAACAGTCCACCCTGGGCTCAGGTGCTCGAGCAGCTCCTGTGCAGGTTTCTGCTCTGGCCAGTGTCACCTGACACGGTGTGTTACTGCAGCGCCTCTCACAAAGGCGGGGTGGACTCTGAGTACCTGCACGTGTTGTAAATGTGGAAATTCCTGTTCGGGAGGACCAAGCACCTCCCTGTTCTCCGTGTGTGTAATGAAACCTCGTTTTATAAAGTGGAGCCTTTCTTTCCTAGGGTCCTGTGAGAGTGGACTCGATCGCCTTGCTGATGCCAATTCACTTTTCCTGTTCTTGTTTATGCTTGCCCAGCACCTTATACTGGTGGTGATTATCTCAAGCACACTGAAACAGGGAGGATCTCACCATTTCCCAGGCACTGCGTGTGTTCTGAGCACTGAAAACCCCGTGCAGATGCTCAGTCCCTGTGGGAGGATGGTGGGTCTGGGTTGCCTCACACAGCCCATCTCAGCAGAGGTGCTGGGG